CCCACCTCAGCCAGGCAGGGTCCTTCCCTGCTCACCTTCTCAAGCTCCAAATATGTAGCAGTCTTTCCAGATGGTTCAGAGCAGAAATGAGGAAGCCCCCTCACCCCTTCTGCTGGCTCTGCTGCTCCCCCACCCTCTTCAGGTTTAAGTCAAAAATGTAGATGCCTCATATGCACTTTACAGACAGGAGGGGGCCACAGACAAGAGAATCCCCACTGCTGATTCTGGCCTCCCCCAGCCAGCAGGGCCCCACAGGGCTCCAAACACCTCACAGGACCCACAGCTGCAACCGACCAGGGGCTGTCTCTTCCACGTCTGTACTTCTTTCTCTTCTTGGTTTCTTTTTCCTGGAAAAAAAAAGCTGTTTCAGGGGAGAGGCTGGCCAGAGCCTGCCTTGGGGTTTGGGTAGGGGTGTGGTACTCTTTCCTGGCACAAAGGGGAGGGAAGGGAACAGATTTGTCGCCCGCCTTTGCCGGCCATGCACTGTGCGATATCCTCTGATGCCACTCCAGCCCCACCCCTATTTTTTTTTTCTGAGCTCGGGGTATTTATAGACTGTTAATTTTCTGACTGAGCCAATAGTAGTTGGGAATCTCTTGAAAAATCAGGAGAGAAATGCCTGTGGGGCAGGGGAGATGCCCTCAGCCCTGCTTCTCAGCCCAACCTGAGGGATCTGGGCCTGTGGACTGGGGATGGCCCTCCTGCAACCTGGAGGGGAGGGGGTGCTGAGCTGTGAATCTCATGGTTAGGAGCTACACTGTGTAGCATTAACCCCCTGGGGGGCATTGCTGCTGGTCTAATTTGGAACCTCCCCACTCATGCCCATGCCCCAGGGGTCTTTGGCCCAGAGCAGAGGGACAGGACCCCCCCCCCTTAATTGGGGCCATTTCAATGTGGGTGGAGTTTATTTTTCATTCACTTTTTTACTGATAAATGGAGATGTCTGGGCCTTCCCCCTCCCCCACCTGTCTGTCCTGCAGGACACCCCACCCCTGCTTGTCTCCCTCCTTTTGTCCTACTTGTAGATGAACCCCAGGTCCTCATCCCCTCCCCATTATGTGTTTCAAGTTAATGGTTTCAGATGTGAACATCATGTGTTAACTGTAGCTCTGTAAATTTTTTTTGTTGGGGGGGTGGGCAGGGAGGAGGGGGTCAGAAGGTTAAGGGTCAAGGATGTTTTTTTGTTTTTCCAAAAGAGAAAAGGGGCAGGTTTGTTTTTTGAAAAACTGTCTTGGATACCTATTTAAATGTGTTCTTGTTGTTGTTTTTTTAACAATTTTTAAATAATGTCTGTGCCCCCCAGGGTCTGAGGGTAGAGTCCCCAGGCAGGAACCAGCCTTGCCTCACTATGCCCCCCCCCCCCAAGAAAGCATTACCGGCCCTGGGGGTGGGGGTCCGGCTGTGGGGTGTGCCTGCACTTTTCATGAGTTTCCTGTATGAAAAGAAAAAACCTACACAAACACCTTGATTTCAAGTAATAAACAGAAAATTACACGAGTGAAAGTCCCTCCTGCTCCCCTTGGGGGTAGGTTCTGTTCGAGATTATAATAGTGGGTGGTCTTGCGTGCCTTGGAGTGGCAATGGGGGGGGGGTCTTCCACCATCTCAGGTGTGAAGTGGGTCCTAATGCAAAGAGGGAGGAGTGCATCCCAGGCTCCCTCCATGGCTTGGGGTGAGGGTGGGCAGGAAACTGCCCCTGCAGAGGAGGGAGGGGTAGGCCACCTCCCTTACCCAAGGACGGAAATCTGCAGGGTGTGGGCAGGGGCTGTGTGGGGCCTTGCCCTCTTGATTCCCTGCTCTGGTTGGCCCCAGACCTGAGTCCCCTCCCAGGATACTACTAGGGTGCCCTGGTGCCCGGCCTCTAGAGTACCCAATCCTCTATTAGGGGATCCATAATTCCCAGGGCTTGGTGCTGTGCAAGGCCACCAGGTCCTGTGTGAACTCTGTCTGGCCTTGCATTCCAGCACTCCCCAGCCCTGACCTTCATGCATCCAGCCCAGGCTGCACCCTGTCCAGGAACAACCCTCTCCCAGCTGTCCCTGCTTGGCTTGGGAACTATTCAGTCTTCGTCTCCCACCGCTCTGGGATCCCATCTTCACTTTGGGACTGGGCAGACATGGGACAATCATATGTCATTTTATATGGATTTCCTCACTTAACAAGCACTGCCACCGAAAAGACTTAGCATTCCCATTTAATAGAGGAGAAAACAGGCCCAGAGAGAAGCATCACTTGGGGATGTTTCTGAAATTTGTGACCACTACCCCTGGCCAATTTAAAAAAGAAAAAATACGTCTTTATTGATTTCAGAGAGAGGAACGGAGGAGAGAGAAACAACAATGATGAGGGTCATTGATTGGCTGCCTCCTGCATGCCCCCTACTGAAGATGGAGCCCACAACTGGGGCATGTGCCCTGACCAGGAATGAAACCACAATCTCCTGGATCATAGGTTGATGCTCAACCACTGAGCCATGCCAGCCAGGCTCTTTTAATTTTTATTTATTGATTTTAGAAAAAGGGAGGGATGCCCGGCCAGGTGTGGCTCAGTGGTTGAGCATCAACCTATGGTCCAGGAGATCCCAGTTCAATTCCCTGTCAGGGCACATGGCCGGGTTATGGCCTCGATCCCCAGTAGGGGGCGTGCAGGAGGCAGCTGATCAATAACATCACTGATGTTTCTCTACCTTCCTCTCTCTGAAATCAATAAAGGTATATATATATATATTTTAAAGGGAGAGAGCCCGGCAGGGTGTGGCTCAGCGTTTGAGCGTTGACCTAGGATCCAGGCGATCTGTGTTCGATTCCCGGTCGGCACATGCCCGGGTTCGGGCTGCAGCCAATCAATGACTCATCACTGATATTTCTATCTCTCCCTCTCCTTTCCTCTCTCTGAAATCAATAAAGATATATTTTTAAAAAGGGGGGAGGGAAAGAGAAATATCAATTTGTTGTTCCACTTATTTTATGCATTCATTGGTTGATTCTTGTTTGTGCCCTGACTAGGAATCTAACCCAAAACCTTGGCATATTAGGAGGATGCTCTAACCAACTGAGCTATCTAGCCAGGACCTCCCTGGCCGATTTCTTTTTCTTTTTTCCCCCTGGCTGATTTCTAATGGTCCAAGCTCCTGTCCTCCCAAGCCCCAGCTCCAGGGACCCCAGAAGGAAGGGAAACGTTCCCTCCTAGGAGAGTCCTGGGGCATCTCGTGGAGGCCCTTGGGCCTCTCCTACCCTCCAGTCACCCCCAAATCATATTTGTCTGCTCACAGCTAAAAGGTATCAGGATGCCGGAGTCAGGCTGATCGCTTCAGACCTCAATGTCAACGCAGCAAATGTCCCCCCAGGTGGTGGAAGTGTGGGTGGGAACCTCCGCCTACGCAGTCCAGCTGGGGATGTTGGGGGGTGAGGGACCGGCGCTGTCACCCAGGTTACCACCGCAGAGCTGGGTGGGGGATGCAGAGGGAAGGTGTCCACTGAGGAACACGCTGAATCACAGGGCTGTGTCTGCACAATTTAGGGCGGGGAGCACCTGCCCTGCTGCCCGGGAACCTACTCCTCACGGTGCAGACCGGGGTGCAAGAGTCACGGCCCTGCCCAGGGGTCCTATGAGGACTCCATCCCGCATAGGGGCTGTGGACCACAGCACACACACCTGCAGGAAGTGGGAGTGGGGGTGCTCAGCCAAGGGTGTGCAGCGGCCGGAGGGGCGGTAGGTTAGACCACGCGGGAGTAGGAGGCTACGAAAGGTAAACTGACGCCCAGAGAAGGCAGGGGCTGCTGGGACCGCGAGTGTCAGGGTCGGCCCTACACCTCCCCCTCCCCCAATGACGAAAAAGATGAATGAGAAGAGGCGGCCCCGGAAACCCACAAGGCTGGAAACGTGGTTTCCAGGGCAACGCGCGGGGAAACGGGTCTGACGTCACCGTACAGAGGACGCCCCGCCCGCCCCTTACGGCGCATCGGAGGCCCAGGTCCCGCCTACCATCGGATTCGCCTCATTGGTGGCTGCCCCGCTGGCTCCTCTGCACACACCAATAGTGGCGCTGGGTTGCCTTCTCCAGGCAGGATTGCGTCCTGGCCGTGCTGAGTGCGCAAGTGAGGCGCGGAGGGGTTAGGCCCCCTCCCTCTGGCTGCAGTTTTTACACCCGCGGATACCCCTGGATGGAAGAGGGGGCGTGTCTGGGGTCGCCGCATGTTCCCAGTTCCCCCTGCACCGGCGCGCTCGCGTGCACCATTCCTTCCACGCCCAGGTATTGCCTGCTGCCTCTTCCCCCACGACTCCGTGTGCGTGACCCGGGGCTGAAGGAGTACTGCAGCCCCCACGCTGGGGAAGCGCCAGAGACCCAACGGGAGGGCACTTGGGATGAGGCTTTGTCCATGGAATAGGAGTTTGCCGAGTAGAGGAAGAGGGAATGGATGCCCCAGG